GGATTCTTGAATTAGTAAGTTGAATTTCAACATAATTTTTCTAAAGCAGGAGGATAAGGTATAATTATCATATATTATTCTAGGTAGCATAATTGCTATTAGTAAATCTACACATCTTGTCTTAGGAAGTGTTATTGAGGTCCAACTTGAAAGAATTCATTTAGTTGTATAGTTGTTGTCAAAAGTAAAAAGGTTCTTGGAAGTTAAGTAATACAGATTGGTGACTATTTTTTGTAAATTTAACAATGAGAATCCTAAAGAAACTAAATTATCTGTTTTTTTAGTTTAGTCAAGAGGCCTAATAATTTCCCATTGCTTTTTCTAGGTGTCCTGAAAGCCTCCGGCCTGAAACGGTGCGGCCTTGCCTGCTTCCTTGTAAGAAGGACTGTATTGTGACCCCATACAGTGACTGGACATCATGCCCCTCCTCATGTAAAGAAAGTAAGGTCTCCAGAGTTCTGAAAGCTGTTTACCTAGAAAACCCACCCAATAGGACTTTTGAGTTATTCTGGCAGAGTGATGTTTCTGAGTCTTGCACAGGGCTGTGTAACTATGATTCTGCATGCACGCCATAAGATTTTTATTTCCCTCTAGAAAATAACACAGCTTTAGAATATCAAACAAATTGTTTTATACCAAAACCTAGAATATGAAATTTTATGAGACATGTTAAAGTGATGGGATTCTAGACTTTATTATATTAGTAATGGTTACTTTTACATTAATTTAAAACAATTTATTTTGGTCTTATGTATTTTAAAAAGAATATACAGTGCCCTTATCTATACACATGGCTTCCAACATACTTAATGGCAAGAAATAACATGGTGGATCACACGTTTAATCCCAGCACTTGGAAGGTTGAGGCAGGTGGATTGCCTGAGCTCAGGGGTTTAAGACCAGCCTGAGCAAAAGCAAAACACCATCTCTTAAAAATAGCCAGAGTTGTGGCAGGTGCCTGTAGTCCCAGCTACTTGGGAGGCTGAGGCAAGAGAATTGCTTAAGCCCAGGAGTTTGAGGTCACTATGAGCTATGACTCCAGGGAACTCTAGGAAGGGTGACAAAGTGAGACTTTGTCTAAAAGAAAAGAAAAAAGAATGGAAGGGGAAAGGAGGGGAAGGAAAGGAAGGGAAGGGATAACATGGGACCAGATTGACTACAGAATTAATGATGCAGCTCCAAAAATGGGAATGAAAGAAAGAAATAACCAAATTGTTTTCCTGCCAACATGTAATGTGTCATGAGATATTTAGGAGATAAGTATTTGTTCCCAGTTTTATTTAGTTTTGTCTTTATTACTGGAAGACAAAAACTCCTTAGTATCATACTAGATACTTTGATAATTCTTCCTTTACCCTCCAGAAAAGTGTTCTCTCATTGTTGCTGAGAAAGGTATCAACATTCTCCAGGTGGTTTACACAGTAACTGAACAGCTTTTTTGACAGTGTCTTCCTGTCTCCTATTTCTTATTTTACTCTCCCAACAAATAGAGATAATTTTCTTTTTTTTTCTTATTAAATCATAGCTGTGTACATTAATACCATCATGGGGTACAGTTGTTTCTATATACAGTTTGAAATACTGTATACTATATATACAGTTTCTATATACAGTGTTTCTATATATATATATATACTATATATACAGTTTCTATATACAGTATTGTTTCTATATGAAGTTTGAAATACTTTCATCCAACTTATTAACATAGTCTTCATGTCATTTTCTTAGTTATTGTGTTAAGACATTTATATTCTACATTAAATTCTCTTTCTGCTTTTATTTTATGATAATTATACCTTATCCTCATGTAATATCTCTTGACTCTCACTAGATTCAGTTAAGAATCAGCCTTTAGTTCAACAATTATATTAAATTTCCAAATTTTATTTAAATGTTTTAGAATAGCTGTTATAAATTTTAACAATGAATTTTTTTATAATGTGATTGCCATTTTATATACATTACAACCTCTGTAAGTGGGCCGTCCAAGAGACTGCAACAAACTGGTCAACATTCAAAGGTAGTCAACGTAAGCAACTAGGTCTCTTGTAATGATCTGAAAATGTAGTACATGTCTGGTCTATGAAAATTAGGTCAACTTAAGGAGATGGTCAAGGTACGAAGGTGGTCAACAGTAGAGGTTCTACTATAGTTGAAACATGAGTCCCTTTTTGTGCATTTCGTATTGAAAACTCTTTAATTACCAAATGAAAGTTATCAATAATAGAACTTTTTATTTTAAAAATCTTTTAAGGCATTTAGATAGATTTTGAGGAGAGAAGGAAGTTATAAGTATTAACCTTTAAAATAATATTAATGGCATAGCCTGAGTATGCAATGGCATGGTCTGACATTTTTATCCTGATTTATTTCCTTTATTTCTTTATTTTCCTAAACACTAAATAACATTTGATATCCTCTGGTTTCACCACAGTTGGCAACAGAATAGTACTTTCTTACAGATTAACATTTCTGTGATAATTGTTGATTATCCATTACTTGCTTAAAAATGTTTTTATTACATGGAATTAATATACTTACTAATTTATTCTTGATGTTCTACTTGATCTTTTGTGTGTTAGTGTGAGATAAGATCATTTACTAATAATTTCAAAACATATATAGTTATATTTATAACCAAATGATTATTAATCTAACATAAATCTTAAGTAAAAATACTGAAAGTAGGAAGACTTCCCCTTTTCCTTGTGGTAGCTATTTCCTTGTATTGTGTAAAGTACTTGAAAATAAAAGTTGACTTGTTCTAGCAGGGGTTGATTTCAAGATCATTCATTTTAAAGTATCAAAGGAGGCAAGACTGACATGAATTTTATGATACAAATTAAAGTGATATTCCCCTTTTATTACAATAAAAGGATTTTTTTCTATAAAATTTGATATAGTCAAAAGGCCACACTTAAAGACAAGGGAGTCCACAAGTTTCCTTAATGCTGCAGGTTCCCCACCCTGGAAAAGTATATCAAAGAAATAAAAGATTCATTACATTTATTTTAGAACAATCACCCAATAAAAATGAGGAATCAGAATTGTTCTCCTGTTTTAGACCTTTATTTGAAAATAATTTTGGACATTGGAATGTATCCAGGAATTAGGAACCATTTTAATAGCCTATGAATTTTCTTCTGTAAGTTTTTGAAAGTGCATTTGTGATTGTGTTCTGTGTCATGATTATAAGTGCCTGGGAAGGAAATTTAAAAGTAGAGGGGTTTTTTTACTCATAAAAACACCATCCTTGAAAATGAAAAATATGAGTTTCAAATTTGTGATTTTTACAGCACTAAGAAAAAGATTGACTTTTTTCTGTTTGATCATTTATAAAATAAAAAAGTATGTGAAAAGCATTATACACTTTAGAAAACATTTTAGCAGAGCAATGAGGGAATAAGTAGATTGAAAATGGCATACACGTGTTAACTAAATTAGTACTCATTCGTGCATATATGCATAAATACATACTGAATTACTTATTTATTGATTCCTGTATATAACTAGAATACTGACAATCTTGTAGGGAAATTCAGTCTCTGACCTCAAGGAAGCTTTTGATCTCATTTAAAAAATTGAACTTTTCTGCTTAGACCAGATAATGTAAGACTTTGATACAATACCAAGATTTAATGGTAAAACACAAAGTGCTCCAGGAAATGGAATGGAAAAATCATTGTGAGAGCAAATATATTAATAAAAATCCTATTTAATGTAAATTTGGAGAAGCCCAGTCTGCTGGAATCCATGGTACGTGTAGGAAAGGGAAGATGGAAAGTTGAAAAGGAGGATGGATAGAAGTTACAGAAGACTAAACTGGACTTAACTCTGATATATAGCAGGAAACACTTTTAGTTTTGTGATACAGGAGTGAGTAGTAAGTTTCATGATATAATGAATTAATTGGACTCTGAATCAGTAGTTCTAGTTTGGATACTAGATGTGGCCAGTTAAAAGCCAGTTGACCTTAAGCAAGATACTTAAGTTCTCCAAGACTTACTTATAATATCTATGCGCTGTTCCACAGCTCAAATAAGATAATACATAATAAAGCACCTATGCTTTGTGAACCATTATATAATTGATATGGTATTTGTTATCTAAGCTATAATGATTATAAGCTTCATAGGAAAGGTATACCATCCTATATAGAGTCAGTATTTGGTAACAGTGTTTTAGTTTGGCATATTGAAAGCAGTTTTTCTGAAAAGTTTAGTCACATATCAATATGGGAAACATATTTAGATAGTGATAAAAGAAAAATTACTAACACAGTATCCTAACAATTATCTATTGGGGATTTACTGATCAAATTATTAATTATTTTCAGATGTTTCATTGTGTCATTGAACATCATATGTATTAGTTTAAGAAATAATTCTTTTTTTTTATTCTACTAAGACTTTTTTGAGAAACTATAATATGCCAGTCATGATTCTAAATACAAGGAATTAGTAGTAAACAAGGAAACCAATGTTTTGGTTCTCAGGAACCTACATTCTAGGGGAATGAGATAAACAAAGCATTTTATAGTTGTTCTAAACTCTCACTGAGTGAAAAGGAAGATCAACCACTGGGCATGAGGGTTGAAAGGGGAAAGTGTAGGAGATTTAAGGGAAAAAGATGTGACATAATTTTGGGGATTTTAAATTGGGTAAGCTAGTAATATGTAATAGAATTTCTAGGCATTATCAAGTGTCCATTTAGTTATGTATTTAAAAAGAGACTATTTTTGCCAGAGATGCCAATGTTTCTCCAGTCAAGTTTATCTGCCTCAAGTGAGAAGAAATGTAGGGATATAAGGTAGAACCTTTGTAAGTTAACCACTCAAGGGACTGTAGCAAACTGGTCAACACATGGAGGTCATATAAGGAACTAGCCTTACAGGACTGACAGAAACACCTGATGCTGTCCAGTCTATGAAAATTAGGTCAACTTAACGAGGTACTCAATGTAGGCAGAGGGTCAACTATGGAGGTTCTGCAGTAATTGTTTTGGTTTTTTTTATTATTTAGGGTTGGGGCTTTCCCAAGAGAATACAAGAAGCAGGGCACCAAAAGTGTTTGTAAGAAAGTACTTATAATTGAGTATGGACTCTAACTTGGGCTGGATGGAAGCAAATTCATGAAAAGATGATAGATAGTGAGAAAATGATAGGAAAAATACATGGCTGTCTCGAGTGAATTTGATGACTAGAACACTCACACTTAGTAAGAGAAGAACTAAAGGAAATAAACTGGAAAGTTAGGAGTGATGGCCAGAAAGATGTATGACCACCAAGAGTATGCAGTTACCAATGATAACAACATCAAAAGATGAGCAGATGAGCAAATAATTGATACAAGATAAAAGAAAAGATCACTGGACAGGAAGATGTACAATAATTCAGTGTCCAGGTGGCATTGATGGCATAGTGGTGAGCATAGCTACCTTTCAGTGTTCAGTGCAATGAATGCCACAACCGTGTGGCTATCAAAGCTACCAGAATCATGGCAGTGGTAAGAAAAGAAAGAATCCCAGTGAAAGAGGTTCTAAGGTCATTAATGAAAGAAGTGTTTCTAAACGAGTGCTACAAGATAGATAGCCAATGGTAAAGTTGATCACAGGGGCTAAAAGGAGTTGGATATTTTTAAAGGTGAAGGGAGGAGAAAAGACTAGGAAATAGCTAGAGGGAACCAGCTTCCACTGGCAGGTGAAGGAAACGTTCCAAGAAGATATTGAAGGTGAGAGACTGAGTGTTTCAGTGGGTGCCATGGAGGAAGGGTTAGAGGATGGAGAGGAATGAGAAATTAAGCCGGATTATGCACATAGATAGTGCTGTGTGCCAGGTTGTGGTGGAAGATCTGAGAGTGGGGAGGGCTCGTTTCTTATGGGGTGTGGTAGGAATTGAGGTGTAATGGATTTAGTTGGATTGATGGCTTGGGTAGGAAACTGCTGTAAGTTGAAACGCATTTTGCCACAGGGAGACTATTTTCTGCTCTTGTTCCTGGAATAGCAGTGGCCAAAAATGTGAGAATGTCAACACAGGAGTTGGCTCTCCTGGAAGCAAAGTGTCTCTGAGAGGAGGGTTGATATTCCCTGGGCACAGCTCGTGTCACTGGGAACAGATCAGCCATGCCTGTTCTATTCAGCAGCTCTGTATTGAATCTTCTAGAACAAAGAGTGTTTAGAAATCCTAAATCTAGGCACAGTCAGATTTTAAAAGAATAACTATAATTGTGTATTGAGAAAATTAAAAAAAAAAAAAAACAACTGGGAAGTGCTAGCAGGGCTAAGAAGGGCTAGTTGTTGACTAACAGTGCCAAGATTTTGTGCTCCCAAAGAAGCCTTTTCTGTTTTTGTCTGAGACTGAGAATAAGGACACAATAGTGTTCTAGAAAGCCAGCCTTTTGTTGTGAAGAAAATAAAGCAATGACACGAGGTTAGGTGTTTTTAATTATTTGGTAAGAGATGGGAATAATCCAAGTGTTGCTGAAATTACACTGACTTCCTAACAAAATTTAAAAATCCTACACAAGGTTAAATGCTCAAAGAGAGATAAGCTCAACAGAAATTTAATTCAAAGATGGAGCAATACTTTTTCATTTAACTCTTCGGGTAGAGCATCAATTTCATAAAGGTTTTACACTTGATCTTAGCCAAAAGGCCAAGAAGCGATTTCATAAAGGTTTTGATCTCATTAAAAAGGAGCTACCATTTCTTTAAATCACTATAAAGAGGCAAAATTACACTTATAATATTTCAGAAAATGGAACAGAATAGCTTAGCATAGGTATTCCAGGAAGCTCATTCAGCAAATATTTATAAAGCACTTACTATGTGTGACTATTGTTCTAGATACTGAAACACAAATGTGAATAGACATATTACACGTGTAATACTACATGTAATAAATTGGGTATAAATACATACAGGGAAGTATAAGAGGTATAAAATTCCCTGTTTGCCAGCTCCAGTTATTAGTTAGAAACCTTCCATTTTTCTTTTTTAATGTGTGCTATAGCTCTCCCATTGTCTGTGCTCTGGTATGAGGGCTCTATTCCCTGGCTGAGTTCTACAGCGCGGTTATGTTAAGTGCACAAGCAATTTCTCAACTGTGAATTGAGAAGAAACAGACCTCCCAGTGGGTAAAGGCAGGGGTGTCATGACACTCCCTGTGTTACTCCATTAAACTTCTTCTCTAGGTATTATGGCTTGAAGAATTTCACTTTAATCAGGTCATAATATCCATCCTGTGAACTGCACAAGGTTAAGCAATTTGAACTTTTTATGAGAATAAATGGATTGCTATTGTGGAATAGATTAAGGAAGTGAAGAGTCATCACAGTGTTACATAACGAGGACAGACTTGGGAAGTTTGTGATGAGAAGGGAGTAGAACAACGGCTCAGTTGCTTTAAAGTGACATTCTTTCTGTTAAGTCAAACAAAATAGAATCGAAGCACTATCGTTCGGTTGCTGCTTCACAAATTGGAACAGTGCTGGCTCTGCTCTAGGTGACGTCAGATAGTTAATGACTAGGAGCTTCAGTCTGTAAAGAGCCACAGATGCCGGACTCTGTCTCCCCCTGTCCCTAGATCCCTTGGTCTCAATCCTGTGTCTGTTCTCTATCTGCAGGTTGGAGACTAATTGCTTCTAAGAATTTTGACCACCTGGGGAACAAAGACCTATTTTTCCTCTTTTTGTCTTCTGTTAACAAACAATCAAAACTCTCTCTCTTTCCCCCAATGCTAAAAATCTTATGAGAATGGTCATTTAGTTTTTATACTTTTTAAAGAAGATTAATGACAGATCATAAACATAAGAAAATAATATAGAGTATAATAGAAGGATGGATCCAGGGAGTGAAAGCAGGGGAGGATGACAGGAAGAGAAAAACTATACTAGAAAATCAAAGTTAAGGTAAGCTCCTGCAATTGTGAAGAAAATTAGCCCTGAGATTCTGGTGACCAAAGCAAAAAATAGAAACACAATGGATTCTTAACAGATTGTCAAGGGAAACAAAATTTTTCCCAGCTCTGAGTATTAGAGGAATTTATCACCTGGGCCTTAAAATAGGGGTCATTTGGACAATTTAATGAGTGGAGATTGCATTAGCAATTTATTAAAAGTCCTATTAATAATTCTTAGGTCTTCCCTAGATAAATCATATTTGATATGTAAAAGCTGCAGCTTGCATTCAAGCTACTATGGTCACACTAAAAAGTCCCTGATAATATTTTCAAATACTTTAATTCTCTGCTGTCCAGTGCTTCTAGTTCTCAATTCCCAACTCTATTACCTGTAGTGTTCCAGATATTCATTAAAATAGTCATGTGATCCTAAATAGTACAAGTTTTCCCCTGTGGTGGTAATAATCCTGAAAAGTTGCATGTGAACCCCAAATCTAAAATTGCAAAGGGACATACATGCTCGTGTATTCCAGTAGATCTCAAACCTGGCTCTCCATCCCAATTACCTGACAAGCTTTTAATTATTTATTTATTTATTTATTTTTTGAGACAGAGTCTTACTCTGCCACCCTGGATAGACTGTCATGGTGTCATAGTTCACAGCAACCTCAAACTCCTGGGATAAGCGATCCTCTTGCTTCAGTCTCCCAAGTAGCTGGAACTACAGGCACCCATCACAACGTCCAGCTAGCTTTTCTATTTTTAGTAGAGACAGAGTCTCACTCTTGCTCAGTCTGTTCTTTAACTCCTGATCTCAAGCAATCCATCCACCTTGGACCCCCCAGAGTGCTAGGATTACAGGTGCGATCCACCATACCTGGCCTGGAAAGCTTTTCTAAAAAATCAAATTCCAAATTCCAACTACCAAAGATAATGGTTTAATAGTATAAGGTATAGGCCTAGAACTATTGTCAGCCATTTAGGAATTGCTAAGATGATTTATGCTTCCATCTAATGAGGAAATAAACTCTAAAGATAGCTAGGGAGTCAGTTGCCCAAACCATGTTGAGGGATGCCCTGACTTCATGTGAAAAGAGGTTTCTTTGTGAGAAAATTCAGATTGTTAAATCATATTTTTTCTAATACCACTATATCTTTGTCAAGGTTTCATTTTATTTCTGGTTAAACTTTAGCTGTTAGGGGTTGATAACCCTTTAAAAGTCTATCAAATATTTAAAGATCTTGCAAAATTATGGAAATACATCAGGTGAATTCTATTATTGTAATTCTTTAAGGTAAGAATGTGTGAAAGTTAAAATATATTTTATTAAAGTTAGCAAATTTAATGCATTATCTGCTGTTAATACTAAAAATTAACATGCTTATGTCAGTAATACTGTAAATGGATATCTTTACTGAAGATAAATCTTAATTCTTTTTCTATATTTTAACATAATTTGGAGTTATTTACTTATGGTAGTGATTGCTGTTTTGACTGCTTCTTTAAAAAGTCTGCCTATAAAAAAAAACACTTTCATTTCACTACTTAGAGCCCTGATGTTTAGCGTGTGACCTGAATTGAAGATCTTAGACTGTTTAACATGAATAATAAATGACTTGAATAACTTAGAAGTTATGCATTTCAAATTAAGTGAATAACAAAGAAATAAAATTTCACATCATAGCATTGAATATATTCTCCTAAAGAAGATTCATTACATGTGTATGAGTCCCATGTGGTAAACAGGACTAGGAAAAATAGCATGAAAATAAATTTAAGGTAGAGGAAAATAAATTAATTAGATCTGTCATCTTCCTCAAGAGGAAAGACGTATACAAAAGAGCAATTACTTTGTATTGTAACTGCACACTAGGAAAGCTGGTTGACTCTGGAACTGTTCTCCATTCTTCACGTTTTTAGGTATGAGTTGATTGGGTTTTTGATCTTAGGGGTCTTTGGGAGAATTTAGTGAATTATTAGACTAGACAAAACCACTCATTCAAGGGTGTCAAAGCATGTGTTGCTGCCAGCAATGTAATTTCGTTGCACAGACTGGTGTCTGGAGGTTCTTTTGTCGATGCAAAGCACCAAGGTTAAAAACCTGCCTCGTTGCAGGGGACTCTGGAGTCAGGAAGCAGTCTCGACATCGGGTCATCATTCAGATGCCAGCGAACGGGGGCCGCGACTGCACAGATCCTCTCTATGAAGAGAAGTCCTGCGAGGCACCTCCAGTGTGCCAAAGCTACAGGTAATCGGGCCAGAGAAGGAGGTCCACGTGTCAGGGTGTTCAGCACGCCCTAGGTGAGGGCTCAGCCACAACTTCAGCTTTACCTGAGAATTGAAAACAGTGTAACTTAAGCATCTGTACCCCCACTTTAATTTCCAATAAGATAAAAATAAATAAAGCCATGGAGTCACAGGAGAGAAAAAACATCTTGAGAGATGGGCTGAGCAAATATGTTTCAAGTCCACATTCTTTTTTTTTTTTTTTTTTTTTGTTTTTAAGAGACAGTCTTACTTTGTCGCCCTCGGGAGAGAGCCTTGGCGTCACAGCTCACAGCAACCTCCAACTGTGGGGCTTAGGTGATTCTCTTGCCTCAGCCTCCCAAGCAGCTGGGACTACAGGCCCCTACCACAATGCCCAGCTATTTTCTGTTGCTGTTTGGCCAGGGTCGGGTTTGAACCCACCACCCTCGGTATATGGGGCCGGCGCCCTACCCACTGAGCCACATGCACCAACCTCAAGTCCACATTCTTTCAAACGCTGAGGAAGGAAGTCAACTGTGTTCCTTCCCGAGGGTGGAGTTGGGGATGTTTGTGGCTATATCTGCCGTTTGATGTCTCTTCGAGAGAGCTGCTCTGCTCCTGAAATGATCTCCAAGGAAACAAATAACCTATGTAGATTTCCAAGCTATTGTATTAGCTCCAGGAAATGGAGGAAATGTCTTCTGTTGATATAAACGATAAGAGATGAGGAAAGTGATCGATAACTGTGGAACATACATGCTTTAGGAAGCAGTTCTTCTTCACTTAGGAGAAATAGCCTGATGACAATAGCTGAAGCATTTCTCCCCTGGCAACAAAGAACACCTGTTTCTTTTCATAAATGCTCATGTCTGGGCTCAGGAAATGACATCTCTAGCTCAGTGATGCCAGTAAGATGTCTTTTCTGTTCCTCACCCCAAAGAAAATTATAATTATTGAATGGATATATCATCTTGATAATTTATTAGAGAAATTTTGTCTTCTCCCTATTAACACAGTAGTATCTAAGTGAAACTTGATACAGTGTAGTATCAACTGAAACTTGATACAGTATCTAAGTGAAACTTGATACAGTGTATAATTGCAGTCCTGACAGCAAATGAAATACAAGGTGGACATGAAGTTCGTGTGGATTTAAATAGTTTACTATTTTATGCCCACCTTGTATTATGGCAACAATAAAAGGAAAGTATAATCACAAAATAGTAATTTAAGATGAAGTGAATGACAAATTTGCCATCTTAATGCATCAGTTTTTAATTCTGAAATGACAAATAGGATAATTGTATGTTTATATGCATACTGACAACTATTAGCACAAACTTATTTATTTTTGGAATTTGTTTTTGTGAAGTGTGTTATAATTATAGTGTTGAGTTGCTCCTACAATGCTAAGCAAAGAGTTCTATACAAAAGAATCCTGAATTGAGCACAGTTTCAAAATTTGAATAAAAATACATATAACTTATCTAAATGGAACGCATCACTTTGGTGCTGTCTGGTGCACCTCCTAGCAGTCCTAATCATTTAAAAGGCTAAAAGTCCTCTGCGGGGCTTGTAGAATTTAATAGTGTTGTACTCTTGTTTTCACTGCCAGGGAAAGTACTTTTACATTTAATGCTGCTTCTTATAATACCCTGATGGAAATTTAACTTAAATTTAGATAAGACTGAGAATTGTTAAATAAATTTCTATTTGCCATGGTCAAAGTCGTTATTTTCATGCTGCTGTATCTCTGTGATTTGCCTGACGTGTTTGCTTCCTCTCTGTTGGCCTTCCATTCTTTTCATTTAGATGGAAAACTCACAAATGGCGCCGATGCCAATTAGTGCCTTGGAGCGTGCAACAGGACAGCCCTGGAGCACAGGAAGGATGTGGGCCTGGACGACAGGCAAGAGGTGGGAGCCCCCATTCCACAGTTCATTTCTCCATCACTAGGTTTAACCCCTGTCTTGATGTGTTTGTCACTTAGAAGCCATGCTTCGCTAACAGAGCAGGATGGATATGAATCTGCTCTGACCCATTCTACAAAACACCACAGCAAGGAAACGTAGCAGCTTGTCTTTTTAAATTGTGCCTGTTGTTCTTCGGCATTAGATCATAACTCCTGAATTTTCCTCTTTTTCATATCTGGAAGAAAATCAGACCATGCTGTCAGTTATGACATAGATGGTACACTGAACCTTGTTGTCATTTGTTTTGTTTTGTTTTTGAGACAGGGTCTCTCTCTATTGCCCAGCTAGAGTTCAGGGCCTTCATCGTAGCTCACTGAAATCTGAAAATCCTGGGCTCAAACAGTCCTCTGCTGCAGCTTCCCAAGTAGCTGGAACTACAGGCACATACCACCATGCCTGGCTCATTTTTCTGTTTTTGTAGAGATGGGGTCTTGCTTGCACTGAGGCTGGTTTCAAGCCTCCCAAAGTGCTAATTATAGGCCTCCCCAAATGCTAATGTTACACCATACCTAGCCTTTTTGTTCCTTTTTAAATCAAAATATTCTATAACACTTTTACCTGCCACCTTAACAATCAATAAAATTTGTACCTACTTACCTATATGTACGCATACAATGTATTATAATTGGTTAACTTTCCAGAAGTTCTCAGCAGTGACATTCCAAACACTGACATGGCTATCCATAGTCCTGTTCATACTTGATTCTGAATTTTAAACAGATTTGTTTACTTAAAATCTGTAACGTGTGAACTGCAATCTATCTGCACCACTAAATAACATGAAATCTTGCAGAAATTGGTTATGAAGATATTTCAATCTTGCCATAATTATTTAGATATGGGCTAAATAATAGATTTAGATTATAGGGAATACATAAAGCCCAAATGTGGAATATGTTGTTTATAGATATACTAAGTTCAGATTTTAAAGTAGTACATGATTATTTTTACTCATTTGTTTTTAGTGTATAGTTTCTGTATATACTTAAAATGTGGCTTAACATATAATTGAATCTGCAACCACCTTTCTTTAACATATATTTCTTTCATAAACATATATTTTGCTTCCCATTTGGAATTATGTATTTCATGATGACACAAAAGTTTGAACTTAGAGGAACAGAAATCTAGTTTCTGCTGATTTTATACTGGACCCCATTTTCCTTATAGTTAAAAATTGCTTTTGTATTTTCAGAAAAAATACTTTTTCTATTATTCAAAAAATCCTCTATTTTATATTCTTTATTTTAGAAGTCTTAATTTGAAACACAAATTTCATTTATAAACAATCATGACTACTTAGTGATTTAGGGGGTTTTATTTGAGTAATTCTCATTTATAATTATATGCCTCTCACCATCTATTTTACATAAAAAAATAACTCTGGCTCCTTTTGCAGTTATAGGGACTTAGGTATATAGAATTGAAAGTCATTCTCCCCATTTAAAATCATTCTCCTTTTTTTTAGAGACAGAGTCTCACTTTGTGCCCTCGGTAGAGTGGCATGGCATCACAGCTCATAGCAACCTCCAGATCTTGGGCTTAGGCGATTCTCTTGCCTCAGCCTCCTGAAGTAGCTGGAACCACAGGTGCCCACCACAACACCCAGTTATTTTTTGTTGCTGTTTGGCTGGGGCCAAGTTTGAACCCACCATCCTTGATATATGGGGCCAGGCCAGTACTCACTGAGCCACAGGTGCCACCCCAAATCCTTCTTAAAGACACTGATTCTGGGGTAGCACCTGTGGCTTAAAGGAGTAGGGTGCCAGCCCCATATACTGGAGGTGGCAAGTTCAAACCTGGCCCTGGCCAAAAACTGCCAAAAAGAAATTGATTCTTTCTTGAATCAACCATACATTTGTGTACTTTTTGGTTCCTATATAATGAAAATAAGCATGAGTTTGGGAATCAGGACACCTAAGTTTGAGTCCCAGTTCTGTCACTGTGAGTCTTACTCATCCCGTTACACTTCTGGGTCTCGGTTTATTTAGGCAGAATATAAAGGGGAGGGAGGATTTGGACCAAATGATCAGAATTATTCCATTTTTTTATTTTTAATTTTTGAGCACCTATGCTCAAAAAATGTCCTGAGATCCAAGTGTGAAATAAAACTAGGTAAAGCAGACAAAAAACATATTTTTATAAAACACCCCTAGAAGCAATATAAGATACGGTAAAGCAGCACAAGCATGCAAACACCTGAAGTTCTAACTCGATTACTAATAACCCGCACAGCCTTGGATGATTCGTGAGAACACAAAAGCCCTACAGCCGCGCTCTCATTAAATGTTAATCCTTCCTTCTTCCTGTTATTTCTTAGCCCCATGAACGTACATGTACATAGGCATCATAGTAGGCAGGAAAGCAGCAATATTAACACGGGCCTTTTGCTTTTTGACACACCATCTGTACAGAAACTATTCTTTCTGTGATTACTGGTGACCTTTTCACTTCCAAATCTGCAAATCGCTGTTCACGTCTCATCCTGGGAGACTGCTTTTTAGTGTCTGATACTGTTACCCACTCCCTCTCCTGCCTTTCTGATTCTTCTTTTCTTGGTTTCCTGTTACTGGTGCCTCTTTTTCAACCTGTCCTTAGATAAGGCTTCCTGACCGTGGCACATTTGTCAGACTGCTTACCAAATCTCAGCAGTCTTATCCACTTTCAGGGTATCTCAGAAGAGAAAGTTGTATTATAACAAGTGGATTTCTGCATAAATGTACTCAGAAGAACCCCTTTAACTTCTGTATGAATACCATCTTTGTCTTTGTTGTCTCAGTAGATGAATAATTTCTTTTTCTTAGAGGTTTTATTTCTACAGAAAAAATGAAATGGGGAGAAGTAAGAGTGTAAAGTATCAGTTTTTGTCAGTGCCAAAAAAAAAAAAAAGCAAACTTTCTTTAACAGTTGTGGCTGGTCTCAGAACTCTGTGTTATTAACTTGCCAAATTGTTGTTAGTTTCACGTGTGTCCCTAGATGTTCAGAAATTTAAAAAGCAAAAAAAAAAGACTAAAATAATTGCATAGTAAGCATTAAATCAATCAGCAAAGACCACAGAGCAGGCACTCTGTCCTATTACAGCAGGCTTTCAATTCCAGTTGCTCCTTCAAGTGTGATTACATTCAGAAGGTTGCGTAGAAAACGCATGAGTGTTAGGAAAGGATAAAGATATTTAAAGCAGGGAGCTCATATTTGTTAGAGAAATGAGATCACTGGTAATGTCACCAACAAGTAGGAATTAAGACTGAAACTGAATCATTGTAAAAAATCAATCATTTGATGCTAAAGGGCTGGGACTTGACTTGTACTATAATATTAAAAGTAGAAAGAAGAAAAGAATACAAAATAAGATCAATTCTATAAACTAAGTGTTCGAGGTAAGAAAAACAAAAACATTAAGTGTGTTCACAGAAAAGTGGGCAGATTGACACTCTGAAGATGTAAGCTGGAGCCTGGGGTGATTTTGTAGGAGGCTATAAATGTCAGGATCAGTATTTTAGACCTTGTCCGATAAGTGGAGTGAGCAAGAACCCGATGAAAGCAGTGTTTTATCTGTCAGCGTGTACAGAATAAATTAGGAAGATAAGACACATGGGCCTGAATGCCAGCTAGTACACGGCTGTAAAAATGCAAGGTTGAAATAATAGTCACCACAGTGGTAAAAATAAGCAAACATAAATGGATTTTGGACATATGATGAAAGAAAATATTTTTAGGACTTAGTGGCACACACTAGAGGGAATGATAAAAATAAAAGAGTCGAAGATGATCATACAAGTCTTTAACATTTTTAGGTTAATATTAAGAATAGTTATATTGATGAAAATTCTTAGCCCTAAAAGCAGAGATAATTTTGGAAAGTATATATTTCACCTTTGAGGCCATGGCAGGGTTAGCCAAGTGAAAAATCTGAGAATGCGTTTGGAATGTAGAAAAGTAGCTCTAGATATAGGGTAACGTTTCCATCAGGTGATTTGCTGAAGCCAGAGGAACATGGTTTAGATACACCCTGTATGGTATACAGGAGGAAATGTGATTTTTATCATTAAGAGATTTATTTTTTTCTCTACAAACATTTGAATTTGTAGACACTTAATTCTTTAAAGAATGATTTAAATGTTATTATCTTTAAATTTTTTATGTTCTTACTTGCATAGTGACTAGCATAGTATTATGTGAAATTAAAATACAAGATAGCCAACTTTACCATCCTATGATGTGATGCTAAAGAGAGAAATACAACTAGAAATATTTATTTATGGTTTTTATCAAACTATCTGTAGCAGGAGTCAGCAAACTATCATCCTATCTATGAGTGAAATCCAGCCCACAGCTTGTATTAGTGGGGTTATTTTGTAACTAAAGTCTTATTAATACACAGCCACAGCCATCTCTTTATGTGTTGCCTATGCTGCTTTCATGACAAAGCATAGTTGAATAATTGTGACAGAGACCATATGGCCCGCAAAGCCAAAAATACTTTCTTTCTCTCTCTTTACAGAAAAAAAATGTGCTTACCCCTGATCTAAACTTGAGACCCATGTAATCAATTATGTAGTCACAACGTCTAATGATAATGAATGGTTACTACCCAATAGAATCATTTTACCCAATAAAATCCCTGGAATTTATCTTGTCACTTGGGAAAAAGTGTACAAATTCAGTTAAGTAATAAAGGAACCAATTTAGGAGTAAGAGAGTAGCAGACATTAAAGACTGTAACAATAGGAAAATATCTGCCTTGAGGATGAAATTGCAGCATTCTTTGAGGAAGAGAGTTAGGAATAAAACTTTGACTCTAAAACTTCAGCAGTAAAAAAATAAAATGTTTTTTTTAAAAGGTTAAAAGTGAAATCAGAAAATTCATGGGGTATGGAAAATAAGAGAAAAAACTATTTCAGGCCTTATTTCCCATCTAGAACATGATGAATTATACCCAAAAA